GGAAACAGAATGATTACATTGAAATTATATTTTAATTTAAAAAAGGAAAACACAAAATCAAAATTTTAAAAATGTGTAGTTGAGTTTAGCACAGGTTTTTTATTCAATAATTTTAAATGTACCTTGACAGCAGGCTTAAGCACATTAATACAGAGCAAAGTGAAAAGTTAAAGTACATTCTCTACCTTGGACTTGGGTATTTTAAGTGCACTGTGCTGAGTAGTTTCATGTCAACTTGACACAGCTAGACTCATTTGGAAAAAAATGGAATCTTAGTTGAGAAAATGCCCCCACCAAGACTGGCTCACGTGCAAGCCAGCAGTGCATCTTTTTAAAATGATTGATGTGGGCTGGTCCAGCCCAAGGTGGGTGGTCCATCCCTGGGGTGGTAGTCATGCATGCTATAAGAAAACAGACTGAGCAAGCCATGAGGAGCAAGCCAGTAAGACATACTTCTCCAGTTCCTAACTCCAGCTTCCTGTCCTGTTTGAGTTCCTCCCCTGCCTGCCCTCGGTGATAGACTGTGATGTGCAGTTGTAAACTGAAATAAACCCTTTTCTCTCCAAGTCACTTTTGCTTGTGGTGTTTTATCCTCATACCATTAGGATCCTTAAGTACGATGCCACCAAATTATGAGTGGAACTTTAGTTCTTGACTTAGGTAAAGAGAAGACGATTGCACAAAATTATCTCCATCCAATTATGAATATGTTGTTCATTATCAATTGTTGTTAAATATAAAATACAGTTTGATATCTCTGTTATATGGTCCTAGCATTGAACCTAGGACCTCCTCCATGCTAGGCAAGTGCTCTACCACTGATTCCTACCCCCGTTCTCCTTTAACACTAAGTCAAGACCTCTCTATATTGCCCAGACTGGCAACAATGCATTATGCATCTCAGACAGCCCTTAAATTATGATTCCTCTGCCTCAGCCTAACAAACAGATCCAATGACCTTCTACCCTCCCTACTCTCACTCTGAGACCGAGGCACCCAGGCCCTCCTTGTTCGTACAAGATGACCATTCTCCCGCGCCTGTTTCATTTTAGAGGCCTTCCCTGTTCATCCACGAGTCACAATCAACACACTACTCCCTCCTGAGCCATTTCAAACCCCTGTTTCCTAATGTCATCTCAGACTTGGACCCATCTCTCCTACAGCATCTTGTTCCTTTCTTGTGGCAATTTGTGATTTTTTGTTTTCTGTGCTGACTGAACAGATGTCTCTCCAGAATTCCTATACTGCTCCTACCATGTCTCTCTTGCTGTCCCTAACTCTACGTATCACAGTTGTGCAACACATCTCTATTTTTCCTTATGGTTTGATGCTCAGCGCTCACTGTGAATGTCTAGTAAGCTCCTAGGAGTTAGGACTCCAACATGAGTCTGTCTTCATTAAAAACACACTTCCTAACCAGCTGCAGTACAGGGTCACTTTTGGGCCTATTTTCTAATTCGTAAATGGCTAAGAATAAATGTGAAAGACTAAGTTGCTAGAAAATTAATGATTTAGCACATTAACCACCCTGAACTTGTCAGGCATGCATCCCTCAAGAGATACAAACTAAAGAAAAAACACACACCTAAATAATCATGCCTTTAAACAAACCCTCCCAAGTATGGTTCTGTATTATTTGATAACAGAACAATAAGTTAAATAATTATTGGATTATAATTTTCAGTCATAATGAGAGTCATGACATTTAGAAATCACATTTATAATCTGCATTCTATTAGAAAATAAATTAATTTGAAAAGGTCAATTTGTTGCAGGTGGACCTCCTGATGTCAAGAAAAATACAGATCTACTCTAAGATTTGGTCATTTTCTCAATCTATCAGTCAGAGAATTAAAATTAATCTCAATCAAGTCAGTTGTATGAACAGCAGAAGCAGAGCCTGCCACTCAGTGCCACACCAGTGTCCCCAAGGCAACTAAGAGGATTACAGTCTTGGCCTGGCTGCTATGCTAGGAAGAGACTGCTAAATTGGGGCTTTCTCCTGGTTGTCCCACATGCTATTTGTACTTAAAACAAATAAACAGTGTGTCCTGCTAGCTTTATTTCAACTTGATGCAAGCTAGAGTAATTTGGCAAGAGGAACATCAATTGGGAAAATGCTCCAACCAGATTCTTGATTGATGATTGATGGAGGAGCCAGCTCGCTGGAGGCAGTGCCACCCCATGGCAGGTGGTCCTGGATGCTTTAAGAAAGAAGGCAGAGTGAGCCACGAGGAGAAAGCTGGTAAGCAGCACTCCTCTGGTGGCTTCTGCTCCATTTCCACCTCCGGGTTCCTGCCTTGAGTTTCTGTCCCCACTTTCCTTAGCAATGGACCAAAATGCATAATTGTAAGCTGAAATAAACACCAACCTCAATCCCCTCCCCACCAAAGTTGCTTTTGGCCATGATGTTTTATAACAGCAGTAGAAACTAATACATGATGGATGTAAACCCATAGTTTTCCATGCTTACTGAGGAAAAATTCAAATCCTTCACAGGCCTTGGTGCTTGACTTTCAGGATACCCCAAGGCTTGTCACTACCCTTCCCTTGTGTTTTTCTGTTTTATAGGCTACTGTGCTCTGTCCCCTACATTACATCTACACTGGCTACCCAGTCATCGCTGGATATTGACAGACAAAGTCCTTCCTCCGAGCAAACCTTTGAACATAAATTATTCCTTGCCTAATAATTTCCCCAATGCTTACATTGCTTGCTCTGTCACCGCCTTGAGCTCCTACTCCAGTGCCCCCTTTCCTGTGTACCCCTCCCCATGTAACCCTAGAGAACCCATACCCTATATTCTTGGTGTGCCAGTGGTGGGTTTTTATTACGCAATATTGGATGTTGATTTTATTTTAGCTATCTTTCTGTGTCCTTGTCTCATATAAAACAAGATATAAGCTATAAGGGAAGAGGCAGCTTCCTAGGGTCAGCATTAGAGAACAATTAGCTGATATTGTCCATCATAGAATGAAATTTCATCAGCATTTGTTGAGCAAATGAATGAACAATAGATACTGAGACAGCTTGTTCCCATATTGCAAAACTCAACTGTGGGGTTTGGCTTGTGTTTAAATGAGGTGTTAAGCAAGGTATGTCTTTCCCTTAATTTTCTAGTTGGGGAGGGATATGTTTGAAAAAAGGATCCGTTAGTTTAGTCCAGTTGTTGTCTCCATAAGGAAGTCCACCCCCTTCAATATATTTATCACTGACTAGGGACATCTTTAGTTTTTATAACAGCAGAGGGAAACAAGTGCTCCTGTCACCAAGAGAAGCCAGGAATATGCTGGGCACCTCAAAATGCTCGGGAAAGTTCCATATAACATACCAGTATTCTCACTGCAAATGTCAACAGCCTTAATATTGGGTAGTCCTGATGCAGCTGAGCATCCTGTCTTATATCTGCTGAGGAAGGAGGGAAGGAGGGACAAAGACAAGAGGGATTGGGGGACTGAAGTAAGTAAGCAAAGCCAGTAGCTGATATCATGGCAATGGCGGGGGGAGGTGCGGGGGGCATACAAACAAATATACAGAAGTTTTATGAACAAAGAAAAAAGAACAAGGGTTTCTAAATTATACAAGTGTATTCTCATGTCAATGAATAAAATACACTGAAGATTAATCTGATAAAAAACATAAAAGGAAAGGGAGGAAAGAAGACAGAGAGGGAAAGAGAGAGGAGAGAGAGAGAGAGAGAGAGAGAGAGAGAGAGAGAGAGAGAGAGAGAGAGAGAGAGAGAGAGAGAGAGAGAGAGAGAGAGGGGAGACCGCTCTGCTCACACGCATACACACTGAATTGTAAAGGATGGATGTTTTGGCTTTGTACCATCTCTCTTTAGACTTCTTTTAAAGTGTGTCCCATATTCCTGCTACATGTATTCTTCCAGGAATATCTGACAAAGCTGTAATAAAAAAGTGGGGGGGGGAATCCCAGATCACTATCTCCTCTCTATGAGCACTGCCGCCTGCCATGGAGGCCTCAGAGCATTTGGCGGGGGCCAGGCTGCAGCAGCCAGCAGCTGCTGCCTGCGTTCTCTTGGAGGAGCATCAGGGATATGAGAACTTGGGGAGAAATTAACTAAGTGATCAAAAGCAGATGAAAAGATATTAAGAGGTACAGTGTTCCCCTCCCTGCAAACATTATGGGAGCAAGATGAAGCTTGTGGTGAGATCAGAGTGCACAACTCATGATAATGTACAAATAGCTTTGGAAAAAAAAAGTGTGAGGGAAGAAATCAACTCTCATGTTTTGGTGAACCCATAATGACTGTACAACCAGTTCTATGAATGGCTGGAATGAAAACTATAACGCATGCCTCTAACAAGTTCATCTGACACATATTAATGTCCTGTCAAAAGGGAAAATGTAAATATTAAATAATAAATAATAAAAGGCCAAATGATTGGCTACCTTTTCCTTCTTCACTCTTGTGAAGCCATTCTGGGATACTTTTTCTATTGTATTTTATAAGAATTTTTTTCGTTCTGTTTTTCTTCTTTATTGACCTGAACTTGATTATTGAGACACTCTTCATTTTCTATGAAAGATCTTTATTTTCTTCCACAAAATATTTTAAGAGTGAAAGCAAATGTAACAGACAGAACTTTGGGTAAAGGGTCTTTAGGAGAACTGAGAAATAAATGCAGTCACTAACAATTAATCGTTCGTAAGAAGTACACAGAGGAAGTAAAAAGAAATCAATGGGTTTTCCTCATTAATCAGTGGAAAATCTGACCAGAGGGCCGGATTCCTTGAAACCAGACATAAAGTGCCATCTTGAGATGGAATGAAGTCTGAGAGTATATTGAAAGATTGGCCCAAATGTTGGTTTGATTAAGTAAATATTGGACTGACACAGAAAGGCCTATGTTCCTTGTATCTAGAATATAAATAATTAATACTAATACCCATTGTAGTTCCAAGATTGACAAAGATAAAGTTACTCTAGACCACAGAAACTCTGACTCACAAATGGTTGATAAATGGAGAGGACTTACAGACAGCAAGGGGATGGCAACTTTTCCAAGAAAATCCGGGGCTTTATCTCCATCCTCATCAAACACTGTCACTTCCAGAACATCATGGATATCTTTAATAGGGCTGAAAGAGGAAATATCAGGTATTATACACAAAAACACACGGGTGACGTCCGCTCCATGAAGATCTGAAAACACTTGCACTAATTAAGTCTGTGTGTCCTCGGAGTATAAAACTACCATTTAATTAAACTCCAAAAATTAAATCAAACTGACTGTATTCCCAAACCTTCCATCATGGAAGATTCAGATGTGCACACGATAAAAGGAGACAACTTTGTTCCTGTGACATTTTCTACACACGTGTGCACTCAAGGGTGATACCGTTAAAGAAACGGGATAACAGAAGAGAAAAAGAGAGAAGTCAGAGGAGAAAGGAAAGAGGTGGCGAAGTCATTATGCAATGGGAAAAAGCAAAAAATTACCTTTGAAATTAATGAAGAAAAAATGTGAGGGACTGAAGATCTGGCTTGTGGTTAAAAGCACTTACCGCTTCAGGTCCTAGCACACAACACTATAAACACTGTAGCTCACTCCTGCCAGTAACCACAGTTCCAAGGAATCCCACACCCTTTTCTTGCCTTTGTGGTCTTCTGAATGCACATGTGATGAATATAAGCTCACACAGACATACATTCTTACACACATGCTTACATATGTAAATAAAATTAACCAAGTAAATATTTTAAATGTATTTCTTTAAAAGAAGATGTGCTAAAATTCATTATTTGATGAGGTACACAGAAAGTCTTTTCTAATTGATACATACAGTACAAAAAAACCACACATGCAGCTTTAGAAGCACCTTTTCTTTACATTGAACAGAAATCAGGCACCACTAACAATAAAAAAAATACAGCCATGGCTGTTGTCAAGAACCCTTGTATCTGGCAGCTGGCTGGTGCGTCTTCCACTGACTCACTTCTGCTAGACCTTAGAGGGACTTCCTGTGAATACCGTCAATTGCAATGGAGGCAAATCTGACTCTCTCCACTTGTAAGCGCCGATCAAGCAGTCTGTTTTGAGGGGGTGAGGCATCATCAACTCACCAAGTCCAACAGGGGTCTCCTCTTTACAGCAAGGCACCTTGAAATCTAAGGCAAACTAGGAAACTAAATATATGCAGCTTCCTAAATGCCCAAGTTTGATGAAACACACAGGGCAGTCCAAAGGAGCCAGACACTCTGACAGAAGGGAATATCGGGAACCGTTGGGAGTCTTTAAGGATTCACAGATAATCTGCATTTTCCAGAAGATTCTAACAGAATACAAATCTTCATCATTTAAGATAGTATCATAACACGTAAGTGCTCATAATTTAAGACAGGACTCCATTTGTAACTTTTCTTAACCAAGAAATAGATTAGTCTGGACATCGAGAAGCTTCCATCTACCCACAGATTAATTTAGTCACTAAAAGATCTGCTTTATAAATGTCTCCAAGCAGTCCCTTACAGTTCCAAATGGTCTCTTCTATTATTAAGCCGCACTATAAAATGAAAGGATAAAAGGGTTTGGGAAGAAAAAGAACAATAAAATTCGCTCTTTGCACATAAAACTGTGTGGAAAAGTTCCCCCCAAGAGCCCCCAGCCTGCCCCACACACATCAGGGATAATTGCTCTCTAAGTTAAAGCTTCTCCTTGGGTCCCAGAGCATGACACACTTACAAGGTAAAAACTTTGTTCCACTCAGGGTTGAGGCTTTTATAAATGGTGTGTGTCTGAAGTCTGTCATTGCCCAACTCCAACAGGCAGAAAGGATCACTTTTCCCTGGAAATGGAACACAGACAGGTATCAAAGACCAATGATTCTCAAAAGGAACACTACAAATTGAGCCAAAGCTGTGTGCTTTCACAATGAATCCATGAGAAGGGAGAGACAAAGAGGGGAGCGAAGCTGCTCTCCCGCTAAGCTTTTCGGGTCCACATTTGAGAATTCAGGAAGTGGGAAAAGCCCATGAGTGTTCAGTCTTTAGCTTATCAAGGGACCCAGATTGATGAGCACTGGAATTTTCAGTCTGAAATTCAATAACCACAGATCTCACAGGAGGGTGTACCAGGTCTCCTTGTGTGTCTTTAAAAGAAACTCAATAGCAAAATAAGATAAAATAACTCAATTAAAACTAGGCAAAAAGATCTCTAAAGGCATACAAGCATCAAATGTAAAGACATGGTCAACATTACCCATCTTCAGGAAAATGATAATCAAAACCACAATGATATATCACGTCATCACAGGTAGAATGCTGTTACAAACATGTAACAACAGGCTGGAGATGTATTGAGTGAGAAAGCATTTAGCACATACAAGGCCCTACACATGATTCCTAGTACTTCAAGAAAAGAGAAACAAAGACAAAAATGACAAATACCAGACTATCTGAAAGAAAGGAAGTCTTATATATTAGTGGGACAATCAGTTAGTAAAGACATTATGTAAGAACAGGGTTCCTTTAAAAGCTACACATAGATCTACCATTTGACAGCAATCCTATTTTCATATATATATGTGTATATATATATATATATATATATATATATATATATATATCTCCAAGGGAAACAGTTTCAGCCTCTGTAGTATCATGTCCATTATAGCATTCCTCACAATAGCCAAAATGCAGACAACATAGGTGTCTACCAGCTGGCAAGAATAGGAAGAAAATGTGGTACATAGGGACAACAGAATAATATCTAGCCATAAGGGCAGAAGACTGAATCGTGTCATTTGCAGCAACACAAATGAACCTGTAGACAAATATATTATGTAATTCAATCACAGAAAAATAAATAATGCAAGGTCGCATTCATATACAACATAGAATCATGAAGTAGAGTTGGGACTGGAGAGCTGGTTTATCAATTAAGATCATTAGCTAATCTTGTGAAAAACTCTTGCTTCAGTTCCCAGCATGCAAATGGCAGCTTACTACCATCTCTGTTTTCAGGAGAAGTGATACCATCTTCTGGCCTCCATAGGTACCAGGCAAGCAGATGGTAGAAAGACATGCATGCAGGAAAACACTGATACACATAAAAATAGAAATAGATCTCAAAAAACAAGGAAGAAGCCAAGTGAGAGAGTAGTTACAAGATGCTGGAAGAGGAGGAGTGAGGAATGATGGGGAAAGATTTGTGCACAAATATAACACTAAGGTTAGACTATAAGGACTAATGCTGGTGTTCTCTTATATAGTATGGTGACTATGGTTAATAATATTGTATTGGATGTTTTAAAAGAGCTAGAAGAAAGGATTTTAGATCTTTATAACCAACCATATGTTAGATGTATGAAATTAAAGACATGGTACATATGCTTGATTCAATTATGACACAATGGACACACATAACAAAACTCCATACTCTATGATGTTCTTATCATATGCCAGTTAAAGCAATGTAATGCAACTTCAACACTGCTACCTCCCTAAATTTTCTTTAGGTTAATGAACATAGTTACTCTTCTATAATTGTAAACTAATGAAAACATTGATGGCCATGAGGCTTTGAGAAAATAGACAATTAGAACAAAATGGTACTTACGACTAAACCTCTGCCCTAGGGGAATAGACATGGCCTACATTCTCAGTATGAGACTCCATATGCTAAAGTTTATGATGCTGTGAAGCATTGAAAGTATAATTCAGTAAGTGACACCAGAGCTAACTTTTTACTTAAAAATTTCATCTCACAGGGCTGGAAGGCATGAAAATCTGACTTTGACTCTCTAGAACTCACAAAATCCTGGGCAAAATGGTAGGCAGAGGCAAGAAAATTCCAGGAAGGTTCTAGGCCAGCTGGCCTGGTGTACAGTGGAGAGCACACATAAAGACACAGAAATGCAAACACATAAACACACAGCCTGTCTAAACAAGGTGTAAGGTGATGATTAACACTCAAAACTGTCTTTTGACCTTCGTATACCACTGTGACACGTGAGTGTAGGTATTTGCACATAGGTACATCTTACAGGCACAAGCATGTATGTACAAACACATACACATGCTGTTACCTCACTTCCCTTTTCCATCTCATCTCCCCCATCCTCCAAAAGAGCATACATAAGACTCAAGGACACCTCACATCCAAAATCTGCTTGACAGGCCCCAAGTCAAAAGCCATTACCTTTCACAAGGACTGGCAAAAAGGTCCAAGATTGAATCTCTCAGGGGAAGAAAGAATGACTACATTAGTGGGGCACTATACAGGGGTTTAAATTAGATGTCTCTCTAACAGATAGCATGATAGAGGACTTACAGACAAATGTCTCTATAACATATAGAATGATAGGGATTAAAGAAATAAAAATTAAAAAGTAAAATAATACCAGAGTCCTCTGAATTCCTTTAAAAGAAACCTACAAAACCAGGCTTAAAAAATATATGTACTCTATCAACCAAAAGTACACATGCAATAGACACCCTTCTCCCTGAGAGAAGCCCAGATTGGCCTCTGCTTCACCAGGATTCTGGATCCAATAGCCATTCTTGGCCCTACACCCTGACTGCGCCTACTTCGGCTATCAATTCTGGCCTTTAGGCTTTTGTGAATGAAGGTGACTTTGATCTGTTCTCTAAGAATGTCACATAAATCAAACCAAACACAGACGGGGCAAGCAAAATGCCACTGCCAACACAGAAATCCACTAACAAAATCCACCCAATTTTGCTTACTTGCAGTCAGGTTCCCTTGGTAAAGTCTTCTATAAAAGTGTAAGAGGAGCCTATTGGGGTGGGGAGACAGGCTTCATCGCTTATGGTGAGGAAGACACCGGCCCTGTCTGACAGGCTCAGGTGCAGCAGCACACCCCCTCCTCAACCTGAGCTGGGACAACTACTTAACGGTTTGTCAGACCATTAGTAGGTGTCAGCACTGCTCCTCCAGGGACATCAGCATGACATGCCATCAGCACTGACTCTGGGGAAAGCACCTGACACTTTTAATGAAAGCCCTGGGGTTGGTACACAGCAGGGCGGAGGCACTATGGTCCTGCAGAGGCACAGGTGGGCTCGAGCTGTGCCCAGCTCTCTTGAGCAGCCTTGTGCCTAGCTGTCTTAGCTAATGAGGAGCACGCTTCTCTCCAGAACCCAGGAACTTCAGTTATGTGTCTCCAAGGAGCCTACTGCACCAACTCTCTGAAGATAATTCAGTCAAAGCTCATTAAAATGCTGCATTTATTAATATTGCAGAATAAACAGGCAGAGAGAAGAGGAAACAAAGACATGACTGTGATTATAGAGTAATTTGTGGACACTTTGTACATTAGTTTCTTTCTCTTACAAGGTTTCAGAGGGGAGGGTTCTCTAAGATTTAAATGATGAATTGAGGACATTGCTCTATCATAAAAATGGGCCATTCAGAATTTTCCCAAGGATACTAAGAGAATAATGGCAGGCCAACTGAAATTCAGACATCCTCAAGAACATTTTACCATACCCTATTTTGCCGTCAAGCTTTTAACCTACTTCCACTATAAGCAGATGCACATGACTATGGCATAGCCACGAAGTTAGTGGCTCATATTCATGATGAAGTATCACTCAAAATTCCTCTGAGGGTACCAATTTAAAATTTGTTTCTATTTCTTAAATAGTAGGTAGGAACTTTGCATTTCCCTAACTTACTTTTATTTGGATACTACAGAAAATCTGATATTGATACTTTGGGAATAATATTTGTCTTAGTTAGGGTTTCTTTTGTTGCAATGAAACACTATAACCAAATTGCAAGTTGGGGAGGAAGGAGTTTATTTGGCTTACACTTTAGCATTGCTGTTCCTTACTGAAGAAAGTCAGGGCAGGAACTCAAAGAGGACAGGATCCCAGAAACAGGAGCAGAGGTCATGGAGGGGGGTTATTTACTGGCTTGCTTCCCATGCCTTTCTCTGCCCACCTTCTTATAGAACCCAGGACCAGCAACCCAGGGATAGCACCATCCATCATGAGCTGGGCCCTCCTACATCAAGCATTGACTCAAGAAAAATCCTTGCAGCTGGATCTCATCAAGGTATTTCCTCAACTGAGGTTCCTTCTTCCCCGATGAGTCTTACTTGTGTCAAATTGACACACAAAAGCACGCAGCACAGTATCGATCATTTGAAAGCTGTTTTCTGAACATCTCTTTAATTCCTAGCACTGGCCAGGATGTGCATACACAAAGATACCTGAACTGCAAGGACTCTCCTTGGGGGAAGGAACTTTGTAGTAGAAACAATTGGGTCTTTCCTGAAGTGGTGTGGACAAATTCATCAGGAAGGTGTCTGTGAACATACATATACAGTTGGTGTACCCTATCTAACGGGTCTAATGAACATTAATAACATATGTAATTGTGCCTGAGATAGTATCATCTGTTTGAATAGAGACAACTCTGTCACCATTTACACAGCATTCCCATTATAGTAGGCATTAACAAGATAGAGGTTAGTTAATGCATGCAGGAGAATATGTGTGCACAGTTTTATAATGTGTACATGTTCACACAAAGAGGTTGAGCATCCTTAGACCCTATGATTACGGCAGGAGTCATTTTTCCTTTTCATTTCACTCCCATGTTCCACCCAACTTTCAAAAACATACCGGTATCCTCTGAACTTGCCTGGCACCTCAGCAGAAGTCACTCTCCTCACAGAAGCCAGAACACATCTTTGTAAGTCTATATGAAACCATACCACTTCTCTCTCCTCGGTTTTCACATTTTCTTTGTCTGACTTTCAAGTGATCCGGCTCCACCTCAGACACTAGCCTCCTTCTCCCACAGAATTCTCCTACA